GAGATTTCATTTTCTTCCACCGTTTCAATCTCCATCTCTAATGATGTCGTGTGTTGAATCCTGTCAACGCTAACCAAATAATCCTTCAAGCAGATGCAACACTCCACGGACTTCGGGCTTAGTCTTGTCTGACGTATCGAAATGATCCTGCCACCAAGAGAAAAAGCAAACTCCGAAGCTACGGTACTAGCTTGGATTGTTAGTACATCATGTGCGATGCACGCCAAAATCGGGAATTGAGGTTGTTTTTGTTTCCAAAAATCTAATAAATCAGTTTTTTCAAAATCTTCGACATCATTTGCGGGACATGCGGCCATAAAGTTGGTATGCACATACATATTTAGTTCACCCAAATCGTTATCATATCGACTTTTTTTACTTGATTCTTTTAAAACCTCGTTCATTAAATTAGTCATCAACTCTTTACGACTTTGTCGATGACCACTAGAAGAAGAACTAGAACCCGCAAAACCACGTGAGGAAGGTGTTTGTGGTTGGTTTCAACCTTCGTAAAAATATTTGTAATGATCAAATAAATCTTGAAAATTGCAATTAAATAAACGTTTTTGTTCCATTGAAAAAGAATTATCCGTAGCAGTATCCAAACCAAAAGCCACACATATTTGTGTAATTAAAACTTCAACACGAATGATATTTTGATACGGGTTTAACGCCGCAGCACATAGAAAAGCAAATGAGATGCCCATAAAATATTTTAACAATTTCTTTTTCATGCAAGACATCAACCTTCCCCAATCGTGATGGTCTTCGTATTGGGCAATTTTACTTGCCAAAATATAGATTTGGTTTAAAACTAAAGGGCTTGTTGGATAATAAATTCCCGATAAAAGTGTTGTCGCATTTTTAAAATCGCCCAAAATATCGTACAATCCTTCAAGCACGGCCCAATCAAGATTTTCTAATAGAGTTTTGCGGGTAATGGTGTCTATAAAAAGCAAAAATATAATTTTTTTGTTTTAACAAATTTTCAATCATAAAATATGTCGAGTTCCAACGAACGGGCATATCGAACCTCGGTCCCAAAGCTCTAAAACCGACGTCCTCGCAATACTTTCTATAGGCCGCATTCATTTTTTACCTTTTGTGAAAATTCGCCGCTACATAAGTCTAAACTTATTTATTACGGGTTTACAAGTATTTAAACCGTCTTGAACGGCTAAATTTATTATATGTGCACAACAACGTGTATGAAATAATTTACCGTCTAAAATAGGTGTCAAATGACACTTTAATTTTTCCACACAAGAAATGGTATTACTAGCATTATCAAATGAAATACTAATTATTTTAGTGGTTAAATTATAAAATGCAAGAGTTTTTTTAATAATCGAAAATTGACGTGCACCCGAATGTGGCGCACCAAACGGTTCAAACGTGATTACACGTTTGAATAAATGCCATGTTGTAGGCTCAACCCAATGTGCCGTTATGCATATATACGAAACGGCAATCCATATGGTGCGCTCCATACGTCACACGTTAAAGAAATATTGTTAGGCAAAGTTGAAAACATTTGTTGCATTTCGGACCGACACATTTTCCACATTTCTATAGTATCACGTCTTAGGGTCTGACGACTTACCGACTTGTATCGTGGTTGTAGCGTCTTTTGAATCAACTTCGTAATGTGAGGGTTGTCGAAATGTCCGATAGGCAACCCAACTTGATTGACACATTGTGTTGTCATTTGTCGGTTCAAATCGGCATCGTAGGACCATATTTTGACCTTGGGTGTCAAGTATCGGTTGTCTTGAATCACCCCCGACCTCAATCCCGGGCTCGTTTTTTCGGTGTGCCTCCTTAACGTAGAATTTCCTTC